CCCCGTAAGCTTTCCCAGTGCAAATCATTTCCCGCCTCTCTCTCTCTGTGTGTGTGTGTGTGTGTGTCTGTGTCCTCTCTCTCTCTGCGTTGTGCATGTCTGGGCGTGGGAACGCTTTCCCTCCCAACAAATATCTTCAGGCCCCTCTCTTCCTTCTCTTATTCTCAACGTATTGTCAGTATCTCTTCCTGTTCGATCTTGACCGGTGAATTCTACCGTCTGCTTGCCCACTCTTACTTATATGCAGCGGCAGAAATGCACTGGCACCATGGATGGCCTTCCTATGACCATGGACAAAGGGAAAACGAGTAGTAGGTGCAAAATCAAAGCACTCCTGGGCTACCAGCCGGGCCGCCCTTGTCACCTTGTTTGACCGGGCGGCCCGGCCGTGCGAGGACCAGCCAAGGGCCCAGCAAACAACGAAAACATCCAAATATCTGGAAAAAAAAAACTATGTGATACATTGAAGTGATGTCGGTGAGAAGATGCATGTCAACGAGGAGGGGAGGAGAGGGGCAGGGGGGGGGACGGTGTGGAGGTGAAGAGAGAAAAAGGGGGTGAAAGATTCCTGGCAAAAAGGAAAACCAAGGAAAAGGAGGGGGGGAAGGGGGGGGGGGAGGGGGGGGGGGGAGGGGGGGGGGGAGAACAAGAAAACGAATGCATACAGAAAACCCCCAATTCGTGGAAAGCGGATTGAGAAAACCTGACTGCCATCGCAAGGGGGCATTGTACACACACACACGAGTGGCAGAGGTTGGCAACTACCCGGGAGTCTTCTTTTCTGGCCGTTGTTGATTTTGGTAATCAATCAACGCCACCAATCATTGTAATCAATCAGACGGTCAGGAATGAAGAATCCAGGTAATTGGAACCTTACCTGAGGAACGATATATTGATGACGAGATCAGAATTGAAGATTTCGAATCCTGTCCGCTACAAAATCGTTAGAGCGTGGAGGAATACCCTAAACCCTTGAAAAGGAAAAAGTCTGAAAACCCTAATCACTGGATAGCATATCCAGGAGCCACTTGGGTGTGTGGGTGTGTGGGTGTGGGTGTGGGTGTGTGTGTGTGTGTGAGAGAGAGAGAGAGAGAGAGAGGATGGGAAATGATATGGCCCTATCCTTGGGTTCATCCTCCTAATCCTTACAATGTACGTCCTGTCTGTCCTAGAGGACAGACTCTTTCCACTTTCCCCCTTTGCTTTTTCCCCACTTTGCCATTGTCTTATAATATTCTTCTGTTTGTTTGTTTGTTTTTGCAGAGATGGATTGGAGGGTAAAGTGCATTTCACACTTTGCAGCTGCCCCCACCCCCCCCTCCCCCCTCTCCGGGAGAGGAATTGATAAAATTGCAAAGCATAGGTATTGGCGTTGGATGATGGGTGTCCCGCGATGGCAAAGGTTGAAAGAAGATCTTCTTAGCTACAGATAATTAGGAGAGGGGTTGTTTATGGAGTGGGCGGATCCGCATAGCAAAAAGTGTACACTATTTGCTGGGGAGGTAATGCAATCCATGGGGCATGATGTTTGCCAGCACTTTGCAAAGTGTTGCTGACTTTGTGATGTGAACTTGACTGTCCCTGTGCACTGCAAGATGTAACTTTGTCAGAGGCCTCTGGTCGCTAAATAAAAACAGCAACTGCTGTATCGAAGCCCCTTGCATGAACTGCATGTATCATGGGACGACAACTATGGTGTACCAGGAAAGATGTTGGCACGTTCTGTACGATGTCCGAGGGGGTTCCTCTCCATCCCCCGGCCCCTGCCCCCCCCCCCCATCAGATGTGTATAAGAGACAGGTGTGGGCTAGAGGTGGCGGTGGGTTACAAGTAAAGGCAGTGAGCAGGCTACGTCTGATTGCATTCGTATTTCAACAGTTCATGGCCGGTTGGTCCCCCATCCTTTTTTTTTTTTTTTTTTTTTTTAATAAAAAAACACTGCCTCTGGACAGGCTAGCAGTGGTGATACGGGCAGCCCCTGCTTTTGTCGTACATCCCGGAAACATCTCCGTTTTGTTTTACTGCGCCTTCTCAAAAATTTCTCGTTTCGCGTGGTCCCTTTTCAGACCAACTTCGAAGTTTTACGGTGCAACGCACCCCCTGCCGTCGCTATGGCCAGCTAACCACTGAGTCAGCGCACCATAGCCAATGTGGCTGCGAGAGCTCAACCTGGCGGTGGAATGCTTGACAGCGTTGCTGCTCTCCGCTGGGCGAATACGACACTCTCCTCTCCGCTGGGAAGAGAGCCTCAACCGGCTGTTCGTCAATTAACATTCCTACTGTAACGTTTGGGAACAGCATTTGTTTTTCATCCAAGAGGATCGTCACTACCGTCTTCCCCAACCGCTACGCCCCTCCCCTCTCTCTCTCTACCTCTGTGTTGCTGTGTGTCTGCCTATGAGGATGTCTGCTGTCGCGTCGACGTCGACTCCAATCTTATCTTTCCAGGATTTGAAGTTACGTCTGGATGTCAACAATTCATAGGCCTACCAACTGAGCTAGGTCAAAATGATCATCAGGCCAGCAGCACCCGTACCCTGGACTGTAAAATGACGAAATCTAGACCTGTGTTCCAAACATGATGGGGTATGGCTGGTTCCATGGATAAAGGGGCTGATCCCACACGACATGACTTTCGTAAAAGTTGAAAAAGAACAGGAAAGTCGGCCGTGACCCACACGGCTCGTAAAAGAGAAATCAGACTCCAGTTGCCCGCGCTTTGTGGCACTTTTACGAAGGAGGGGGCAAAAAAAAAAAAAACGCCTTTCTTTTATGGTGCAGGGTAGGGGTCCTCCCCTCTTGAAAAATTTCAACTTCTTTTGCGGCAACGTTCGTGCGCCAATGGACACCTCTACAAACATATCCGCACACTGTTTGACCGGAAAGAGGTGGGATCCTTAAAAATGTCTAAGAGTTCCTTCGCCATGTAGTGTGGGATCAGTAGAAAAGGCGCCCTTGTTTTTTCTTTTCTTTTTTTTGTTCCTGGTGTACAGGCCGTTGGATCCTGGAGGCGCCCACAAGAAAGCAGCACTCGATTCGTGAAAGTACCGCAGAAGTAGGCATCCGGGATTCAAAATCTCTTTTTTGAGCCGCACGGGGCTCGCCCACTAAAAGCGGAACTTTTACGTTCTTTTGTAAAAGAAAACAAGTGGGATCAGCCCCAAAGACAAGCTAGCGTCTCTCTATACCTCCTCGAACAAAGGATCCTTCCCAACAAGAGACGATCCTCGCTGCTACTGTCTTCCCCCGAACACAATGCATCCAGATTATGAATGCATACAAGCTCAGAAGCTCTCTTTCCGGTCTATGAGGGTGCCTTACGTTCGAAGGACGACGGTAGGGGAAGGGAAGAGAGAGGACGGGCCTGTCCTGCGTAAAGCAGATACCCCTTTCTCAAGGGAAAAATAGACACCTCCAAAACATCAGGATAGTAGTATGACGAAGACACAAGCTTTCTTTCCGGTCTATGATGGTGATGAGGGCACCTTTCATTTGCGGACGACGGTAGGGGAAGGGAAGAGAGAGGACGGGCCTGTGATGCAGATGAATAAAATCAACCAGTTCTGAATTACCTGGGGCCGGTCAGTCCGACAATGATATATACTGATACCACGCATGGCGTGGGGGCGCAGCCAGGACGGCGGGGAAACTGCCGAGCTCATACAAACCAGTCCCATCTCACCTTGCAGGTGGAGACGATATGCCCTCAGTAGTCCCTCGGTAGATAGACATACTTGCCTACACAGCCGAACGCTGCATCGAGGACCTGGCGATCCCGGCCGATGGGAGGGGACTATGGTAGCCGGCAGCTAGCAGCACGGGACTAGTACACTTCCCTAGAATGAGGACAGAAACATTGCCATATTTTGCAAAACGAAAAAAAAATATGGTCCCCTCGATCTCAGTGGAGAACGAACGGCCAGATAATCATGAAAACCTTTCCCAGAGTAGAAAGGGCGGAACGACCAGACGCGCACCACCATTTCCGACGACCGCCGCCGCGTTCCCTCACGAGACTACCGGTCGGTGCCCAGTTGGCGACCGCAACCCTACGGCCGCTAAACGACAGAAGACATCTATGTTTCTCTTTTTAGCCCAGCCAATTCAATTACCCGTAAAATCTGGACAGGACGGCCTTTCAGGCCTTTTTTATTTTCATTGCAGTATTACGGGGAACCCCGTAGCAGCCACATCCGTGCTCAAGCCTCCAACGAGGGAACATGCGGGAGCTGCACCCACCAGCACCTGCTACAGCAGGTGGGCAATACCGGCCAGGGCTCAGCAGGTAGCATCTGGACCGAGCTTCTTCGATGGGCCGGCCGCTGTGCCTCCCCTGCGGTACCCCTGAGATCAGCAGTCAGCAGTTCCTGCTAAATGCCATGCCACTTGGGGGTAGGAACAGCCTATCTCTAGGTGGCTTCCAAAAAAAAAAGAAAAAAAATAGGGAAAATTTTTGAAATGCCCCCAAAGTTTGCATTTATTTGCGGCATGCCCCTGTAAAGGCCGACTTAACCTGTGGTGCCCCTCAGGCCTCTGAAATTTTCCACAGGCCCCTGTCACCATGGGGCGTAACTCTCCGATATGCCCTTACTGGACCGCTGGTGGCTTTTCGTCGGTAGGTCCTTGAAATGCCCTCACGAGGGGCACACATCTTTCTGTGATGCCCTTGCAGCAGTGGTGTCAGGAGTTCGAATTCAATGTGGTTGGCATTCCACGCACCGCCACGGAAAAACGGTCTGTATATGTGTGTGTGTGTGTGTGTGTGTGTGTGTGTGTGTGTGTGTGTGTGTGTGTGTGTGT